TTGGGATAAAATGCCCTACCACAGAATTAAAACCAAAATAATTGCTCATGTGATGCCCCTTGAGGTGGTGAGTGGGCTCAGGACCCTCTGCCACCTGCTTAGCAGGGAGAAGGCTGGGAGGGAGGGGCCGCCTACTCGCACAGGACAGCAGGGGACAGGCCAGGGCACACCATTTGAGTCCATCACAGAGCCAGCTCTGGCAGATTCTCTTTGGAATAAGAATAGAAATGAATTTTGTATCTGAAGTTGTTTATGTTTCTCTGAAATTCACATCAGTCAACACCCGGGTCACAGCTTCCTTTATCCGCTCTCGGAGAGGAACAGGGAAAGGGTTGAGAGCCCTGCCTTCTCAGAGGGCGGCCGAGCAGGCTGCCCCATCTGCCACAGAGGCGGGTGAAGGCTCATGGCGTCCACAGCTCCTACCATATCCTTGTTGTTTCTCTGCAGAGAATCTGGACGAGGCTAGAGAACAGAAAGAAAAGAGTCCTCCAGACCAGCCTGCGGTCCCCCACCCACCTCCCAGCACTCCCATCAAGCTGGAGGAAGGTGAGCTCTGGGTGGCAGTGGCCGCCGCTGTGGGAGGGTGCACGGCTCGTGCGCGCTGTGGCGGAATGTGGCGGGAGTTGTGTTAACACCAACAGAGAAGTGTGTGCTTGCATCAACGCCAAGACGTGACACCTCTTTTCTCCTATATTGGTTCTGTCCTGGGTAACTCCAGGCAAAACAGATTTGTATGTGAGCTGTGACCAAGTAGGAAGGCTGGCCTCGGGGGTCGGAACCCACCGTGGTTGCTGGTGTCTGCGTTGCCCATTGCTCGCCCACTCCTTGTGCCGTGTTGTCATGCAGATGCCACCTCCGGAGGTGCTCTCCGCTGTGTGAGCCACACGCCGGCTGCCTCTCAGCCACCGTGTGTCTGTGGTGTGTGATCCCGGGTGTCTGTCCCTCGGTCTCGTACATCCGTGTCTCTCGTGAAGCCCATGGCCCTGCCTTTCTTCTTCTGTAACCTGATGGCTGTGACTGAATGCATAGATTCTCTCCTTGTGCTTTTTTCTTCCTGTGGCTGCGTCACAAACAGGAGACGGATGCGCTAGAGAGTACCTGTTACCCTAGTAAGTACCGCGCTGCCTCCGCTCTGCACCGGTGCCCTGTGCTTCGCCTCATTCTCCTGCTTCTTTGTTGTTTATTAAGTTTTGTTTTCTGTTTATTTAAAATAAAAACAGAAGCCCCCCCCCTTTTTTGTACCCAGTCCCTTGGAGGCCTTCCTGGAAGTGGCTCAGTCACCTGAGCACTGTGCTGCCTTGAGTGGCAGCGGGTGCCTCCCTCAGGGCCTCTACGCACCTAGGTGCCACTGGAGCACTCTGGGCCTCAGAGGTTCTTACCTCCGGCCTTCGAGGGTCTCTTTGGATTGCTTGGTGGGAGGGTTTTACCACATTGGATCAGACGTTAAGTGCAGCCTCGGTTCAGACAGGCTGGGGTTCTGCCACCTGCTGTGTGGGGTCGGATTGCCTTAGAGCTTTGCTGAAGCTGGTCCAAGGAAGGTGGGCAGAGGAGCGGATATTAGACCCTTTTAAAGCCAGTGTGATGTTGGCTCAGAGGATGGCAGCTCTCCAGAGCGAGCATCCTGGGGCAGCCTCTGTCCTAGCATCAACCGCACCGTGCCCAGCAGAGCGGGCCCCACCTCCTCACAGGGAGCGGCGCCTGTGTGCCCACAGCCCTCTCCTGGCCCTCAAGAAGCCTGGCCTGGAATTAGCCTGGGGCAGCCGGCGGGGTGGGGGCGCTTCCAGCTTCCCAAAGGTAAAGCCTTGAGGGTTTGGGGCCTGGGCCTCCTGTGCTGCTCCTAACCACTCAGCTGACTCCCCTGGCCCTGATGTGTGGCTTGATTTTTAAACACTAAACAGCTTGTGGTGTCTAACCTGTCAGTTGCTGGTAACGTTGTAGGCTGTTTACGAATGGAATGGACAAAGCGGGTGCCCGGGTAAGTGTGGAAGGAAGGCGCCCCCAGGCCGCGTCCTCAGGGCCGACGTGCTCCTTCACAGAGGGCCACTCCTGATGCTGGTTGGGAGTTTTTGCCCCCGCTCCTTGCCTTAAAGGCTGTCTTTTTCCTTTTAATTAACTTCCATCCTAAACGGCTTTGTTCTTTTGGATGTTGACATAACACGTGCTGTGGGAGTTACGCACAATTTTCTACTGGCTGTTTTGGGGGAGACCAGGTGTTGTGGACCCAAATTTAGACTTAATTTCATGACTATGAATACATGCCCTTAGGGTGACAGGGCAGACTTCTCTTCACATAATGAAAGCGGGACGTGGCTCCTTTAGCTGTCCTCAGCTTGTGCTGCAGTCTGTCTTTCTGGTGGGGGGACCCAAGCCTGGGGCTGAGTCTGGTGGTGTCAGCACACTGCCCACAAGAAGGAGCTAAAAGCTACCCCGAGACCAAGCCTGTGTTTTGTGATATTAGCTCCATCCAGCCGTACAGTAGAGTAGACCATATTTTAAGTTTCTTGTCTTGGTAAAAATCCGTAGAGTAAAATGAAATGGCAGTTTCCTGTGTGGGGTGCCCCCATCTCAAGCTGCCCTTTGAGATCTGGGCAGGAACCCTTAACCCCGTCTCTCACCTCACCCACTAGACCTTGTGCCGGAGCCAGCTACTGGAGATGACAGTGATGCTGCCACCTTTAAGCCAACTCTCCCCGATCTGTCCCCTGATGAGCCTTCAGAAGCACTCGGCTTCCCTGTGTTAGAGAAGGAGGAGGAAGCCCAGAGACCCCCAAGCCCCACTGAGGCCCCTACTGAGGCCAGCCCCGAGCCAGCCCCAGACCCAGCCCCGGTGGCTGAAGAGGCTGCCCCCTCAGCTGCCGAGGAGGGGCCCGCCGCGGACCCTGGCAGCGATGGGTCTCCAGGCAAGTCCCCGTCCAAAAAGAAGAAGAAGTTCCGTACCCCGTCCTTTCTGAAGAAGAGCAAGAAGAAGAGTGACTCCTGAAGGCCCTGCGCTAACACTGTCCTGTCCGGAGCGACCCTGGCTCCGCCAGAGTCCCCGACTGCGTCCGTGCCCTGTCCTTGTGTAATGGAATGCAAAAAGCCAAGCCCTCCACTAGCTAGGGGTCCCCGCACGTGAGCAGCCTTGTGTAGCCCTGGGCTGACCCCGCGTGTGCGCAGCAGCCCCACCCCCCCGCCTCTTGTCCTCTCAGCCTCAGCTTCTGGGGAGACGTGCTCTCCCACAGCGGGGAGGCACTAAGTCATGGTCCTAGCTGGAAGGTACTGGAGGCTTCTGCAGCTTTGGCCGCAGGTGTCACCCTCCTGAGCCTTGACCTTTCCTGCCATCCTTCCTGTTGTGAAATCAGCACATTCTGTTTCTGCTCGGCTTCCCCTCCACCCTAAGGTCTCAGGTGACGGACTCAGACTCCTGGTTCCATGTGGCATTCCCTCTGCTCAGTGATCTCACTTAAGACAAAGCCTTGGTCCCGTGAAAACACTCGTGCCCACCAGCGGCCTTGAAGAGGCAGGTCTGGGCCAGATGCTGGGCAGGAAACGCCAGCGGCAGATGGGCCTGTGTGCACCCAACGCGATGCTATGCATGTCTGACCGATGATCCCTCGACCACAACCAGATTCAGGAGCTCAGTTTTTTCACTTGGGTCTCTGGATTCCTGTCATAGGGAAGGTGTATCAGGAGGGGAAGAGTCCTTTCTAGAATTTTCTTTGAGTAGGTTTACAATTTAGCTTATATTTTTTGACTGTGAACATGAACAGGCTTTCTGCTTTTTTCTTTCCAGACCCCACAGTAGAGCACTTTTCACTTACTTGGGGGAGGTTTCAGGGGATCTGTTCTCTCCGTTAACTCAGCCAGAAAGATGCCCTAGTTGTGATAAAAGGTAACTCGAGGTGGAGAGTAGCCCCAGGGCCCCTCGACATGGCCGTCACTGAGGGAGCCTGAGACGTGCGCTCCTTGGCTAATACTGTTGTTTTCACTTCCCTGGAAGAGGCTGGAAAAGGGCTCAGAGCTGCTGAGCAGGAACTGGAGGGTGACCCATTTCAGGAGCTGCCTAGTACCAGCCTGACTAGGTGCAGGCAAGCTTGTGTGGGCCCAACAGGCCCCTGACAGAGCTGGTGCCAGGTGTGGGCTCAGATCTGGGCATGATGGGCCGAGCCACCTCGGCTTCCACCGATTGGCCGGCCGAGCGAGAGCCAGGCTGCTGCATGGCACTGCCTGCTGCTTCGAGCTTCCTCTGAGCCGCAGGGCCTGCTACGCGGGCAAGCGTGCTGCCTCTCTTCTGTGTCGTTTTGTTGCCAAGGCAGAATGAAAAGTCCTTAACCCTGGACTCTTCCTTTTTCCCCTTTTATCCCTTCCTTTACCCCACATATGCAATGACTTAATTTTCACTTTTGTAGTTTAATCCTTTGTATTACAACATGAAATATAGTTGCATATATGGACACCGACTTGGGAGGACAGGTCCTGAATGTCCTTTCTCCAGTGTAACATGTTTTACTCACAAATAAAATTCTTTCAGCAATTTCTTTGTCTAAATCTGAGAAGCAGTTTTATATTTTAATTTTTTTGTTCCCAAGTTTGTCTGTGTGCCGAAAGGAGACCTCCAAATGTTCACGTCTTGATAAAACGTCATCTGCAGCCATGGGTGCGGGAGGACGTTCCACCCGGCACTCCTGTTGTCCTTCCCCACGGGAACTCAGGGTGTCCAGGGAGCTGCTGGCCTGTCCTTGTCCCCACGGTCCCAGTCTCACCGTCACTGTGTGCTCATGTCTGATGGGGAGGGCTCTGTGCGGGGGATACCCTGCCAGGGTGCCGGACACACTGCCAGATACCACCTGGCCAGGGCTGACCCCAGCCTTGGAGGGGCCTGAGTCCCCAGGCTGCCACTGCAGAGGGGGAAACTGAGGGTCTCGAAGAGCCTTAGACCCTTCTGGTCAGTGGAACCATTCATTCAGCTCTAGCTGCCTCTCCTGGTGTGGGTAGAGGCCCGGTTATGTATGGAGAAAGGCATTTGGTATAAAACAGGTGCTTTATTTCATCATCAGAAACCTGGTGCATAGTTTAGAAAACAAACAGAAACCCTGACAGCCTTGGAGTGCTGCTGCCGCTTGGAGTCATTAATAGGAATGAGTCTGCAGGAGCTGCCTGGGCTTCCTGCTGGGGGGCTGGCTCCCACCCACAGGGTCTCCCTGGACTGGGAAGGAGGGGGGTCAGGCAGGGGGCAGGGCTCTGACCCAGGCTCCCACTCTGCCTGGTGCCCACAGCCTGGGCACAGTGGCTCAGCTACTCAGCCTTGAGCGTCTGTGCCGAGTAATTCAGCTTCTGTAGGAGGAGGAAGGGGAGCAAAAAGAGCCCGGACCACGTGGTGAAGCAGGCCTGGGCCCCGGCCAGCCAGTACACTGCGGAGAGACGGCAGCGTCACCCAGGCTCCAAGGGGGCTGGCACTGGGGAGGTGAGAGCAGGTGCCCAGCCCCCAGCCTGCCCCAGCACAATCCCGTGCCCTCACCTGAAGCAGCCACCAGGGGCCCCGCGGCCCTGGCCAGAGCGCCTAGGCTGCGCAGTGTACCCATGACCGTGCCCTTCTGCCCTGGTGAGCCTGTGGGGAGAGGCGTAGTCAGGGGCCACTGCCCTTCTCCGGCTCAGGTGGCTTTGGCTGAGGGAAGGGTCTTACCATAGCCAGCGACCACGGAGGACAGGCAGGGCACCACAACGGCGGCGGCTGGTGGGGGACATTGAGGCGGCTCCCATCAGCCCAGGGGAGGGCGCATCACCCAGCCCCTGCTGCCCATCAGATCCCCTGCCAGGGTAGGGCCACTCACCAAAGGAGTACAGCAGCAGCCCCAGGCCCAGCATGGGCAGAGAATGGCTCCAGCCGATGAGGAGGAAGGCAGGCACCAGCAGTAGGAGGGCCTGCAGGTGGGCACAGCAGCCTCAGCACAGCCCGTGCCCCACAGGGCTCAGGGGACTGCCTGCCACCCGCTTCGGAGGGAGCCCCCTACCCGCTTCACGGCAGCAACTTCCCCACCAGGGTGGATCCGCCGGGCATAGGCACCCTGGATGGTGGCCATGGTGAGGCCGATGAGGAAAAACATCTTCCCCTGCTGCAGGCTGGGAGCAGGCGCGTTAGTGCAGGGTCACCCGGGGCAGGGCCACCCCGGGGCAGGGCCAGGGCGAGAGTGGCTGCCAAGGCTTCCTGGGGATGGGGGTTAGGAGGGGTCATCCCTGAAGCAGGGGCATTCAGGGAGACAGCAGGCTGTCCCCAGATGAGGATCCACCTGCTAAACTGGAAGCGCTGGTGTGTGAGGAAGCTCAGCGTGTACTCCAGGCCCGAGAACAGGAAGAGGTAGAGGAAGTAGACGAGGCCCAGGCGGCGCAGGCTGCTGAGCCCTGGGGAGAGGTGGAGGGCGCTGAGAAGGCGACCACAGCAGGGAAGGGCTCCGCCTGGGGACGCGCAAGGGAGAGCAGGCTCCACACTTGGGTGGGTCGAGTCCTTACTGTCTCCAGTGGGTGGGTCCTGGCCACGAGCGACGGCCGAGAAGCGCAGCAGGGCCAGGGGGCTGAGCAGATCGGCCGCATCACGGAGCCCCGGGGAGACAGACGGCGCCTGTGGGGACAGGATTGGAGATCACGGAACCCCAGGGAGACAGACGGCGCCTGTGGGGACGGGACCGGACGTCACGGAATCCCGGGGGGACAGATGGCGCCTGTGGGGATGGGATTGGAGAGCCTGCAGGAGCAGCTGCTGGCCTGGCAACCCGCGGACTGTGGCCTCAAGAGCCCTAACACCAAGAGGGCGGCCCAGCCTCCCTCGCACCTGGGGCTGGCACACAGGGGCATTTTACAGCGCTACGGAACCAAGTCCCCAGCCCCTGGGCCTGTGGGTCCCGTACCGCAGCCCTACCCGTTTCTCCAGGGGCAGCGTCTCCGGCAGGAAGCAGAAGATGAACAGCAAGTCGGAGGCTGCGAAGAGCAGGGCAAACCAGGGTGCCATTTCCAGGGGCAGGGAGGCTCCAAGCATAGGGCCCAGGGTGAAGCCCAGTGAGAAGGCCACCCCAATGACCGCCTAGAGAAAAGGCCACCTGAGCTGCACAGGGAGACCCAGGCCCAGAAGTCCACACCCGGACCCCAAAGGCCCAGCCCGTGCACTTACCATGCCTTGGCTGCGGGCCAGAGGCGAGCCCAGGTCAGCAACGATGGCCGTGGAGAGGCTGACGTTCCCTTTGCTGATGCCCCCAATCAGCCTGGAGGCCAGGAAGGCCGCAAAGCTCCGAGAGGTGGCCCAGACTGCATATGAGGTGGCCACACCCATCTGCCCAGGGGCAGGGGCCAAGGGGCAGGGGCGGTCACTACAGCCAGGAGTGGCTCAGAGTAGGACTTGGTAACCCAGGCAACGCCCCTCAACCCTGCCCTATTTCGAAGCATCTGAGGGCCACTGTGTTCTCAATGCCTCCCTAGGGGCCAGGAGCACCTCCTCGAAAGCCTGGCTTTGCAACAGGAGCCACTGGTCCCCCAGAGAACCCTCTCCAGGATGCGATGAGGGCCAACAAGTGGCCATAAGTGGCCCACAGCCACCTCCCTCTCCCCACCTAACCCCATGGGGCTGCTGGCTGGGTGGGAGGCGGCTTCCCGATGGGCACCCAGCCCCAGGGACATACCAAGCACAGCAGCATCACCGGGCGCCTCCCCAAGCAGTCAGAGGTGGCCCCAGTGAGTGGCGCACACAGAAACTGCAGGACAGAGAAGGCTGAGCCAATGAGACCTGAGAGACAGATGTCACCATCATGGGGCTGTGGTCTCAGGGCCCTCAAGGCCAATGTCCAGCCCTGTCCTGAGGGTCCAGTCATGCTGGGCCCCACACTCACAGGCCATGGCCCTTGAGCCCAGGAGGCCCCAGTGGAGAGATGAGACAGGGGATGAACCTGACACGCAGAGGTAAGGGATCATGCCCAGGAGCCAGGACGTGTGGGCAAGGGCACCAGACAGATGCCAGCCCAGAGAGTGGGAAGGGAAGGACTAATAATTGGGGAGGGGCCTGGGCTGAACCATGTCCACCAAAGATAGGACGGTAGAGAGCCCGCCAGGGGCACAGAGCCAGCCATACCTCCGAACAGGACACTGTTGTATCTCTTCTCCACTGGCATCCCAATGGCGGTGGCAAACCAGTTCACCCCACCCTGCCAGGAGCCATAGAGGGGGTCCTAGGGGATGAGGAGGCACGATAAGGGCTGGGGAGGTCCGATGGGCCTGGGGGGCGGGGGGCACTGTGGCCGCAGGGCAAGGACTCACGTGGGCACGGTCGTGGCTCTCCAACAGCCCGGGCAGCAGGGGCAGCAGCAGCGTGAAGGCCAGGAGGTCCAGCAGGAGGCCAAGGAAGACAACGGTGACCACGCGGCGCTCTGGTGGCTGCTGGTGGATGGGTGGGCGCGGGGTGCAGCCTCCACCCCCTCCCCGTCCCATGGTGGGCTGCTCTGACCTGGCCTGGCTGGGGTGTGGGGGGTTGGGTGAGCGGGGAAACCGGGTCCTCCAGGGCCTGCCATACCCCCACACCCGACAGTTGGCGAGCACACTAAAGGGGCTGATGGCAGAGGCTCCGGCCTACAGACGCAGGGGCCATTCTGGCCTGCGCGATGCCCCTGCCACGACCCAGGCATCAGGAAACGCAGGCTTCCGGGGTTGCCAAGAAATCGTAGCCACAAAGGCAACGGTCCCCAGGGACCCGGCCCCACCCCGCCCCACGGCCGCGCCTCCCACGCCCGCGTAACAGAGCGAGAGAGGAAACTCGAAGCCGCGGGGGACCCGGACCCTAACCCCAACCCGCGCGCCGAGATCCGGGCCCCTGGTCCGGACTCGGCCTCCCTGGCGGGGGCCATGACCTGCACACCAGACGCGGGAGCGCCCTCAACCCCGCGCGCCTCCCACCCCGCCATCCCGCGTGCGCCCCGGTCCCGCCCCCACCCCGCGCGCCCCCGGGTCCTGCCTCCTCCCCCACGCCCCGTCTCCTGTCCCGCTCCCACCCTGCGTTCCCCCTACGCCCCCCACCCCGCACGCTCCTTACGCCCCCCACGCCGCGCGCCCCCTACCCCGCGCGCCCTCCACCCCGCGCGCCCCCGGTCCCGCCCCGCACCTGCCGCGGCTGCGCGCTCGGAACAGACGGTCGCAAGGACGCGGAACACGGCGCCAGGCACGCCGCCAGGGGCGGGACGGCCACGCCCGGTCACGCCAAGCTCCGGAAGTGACGGACATCTGGGGACGTTGTCTTCCGGCCGGAGGCCGTGGCCGGGTTCTCGCCTGTAGTGCGGCTCACTGCTCGGCCGTGGGTTAGCAGCACCCTGACCGGACCGGAGGAGCTGTGGGGCCCGCCCCCACGTAACCCGGACGCCGAGACTCCCGGCCTGGCCTCCCTGGGCCCACGACGCCTGCCCCGCGGAGCGGACCCATGGGCCTGAGGTGTACACGTGTGCGGGGCCTCAGGCGAGCGTCACGCAGCCCGTCCCCCAGTCTCTGCGCCGTGCGGGCCTGGCCTTCCGCGTGGAAGGACCGCGGGCTTCGGGACCCCACGCCGGCGGGATGACTCCTGCCACACACAGCGGTGGTCGCGGGCCTGGGGCAGCAGCACAGCCATTCTACTGTGGCCGCGTGAGCCGACCCCGCTGTCTCTGTGCAGCTACTTTTGTTGCGTTTGGTGCAGAGCCTGAAGTCCCAGGACAGGCGGCTGAGGGGGAAAGATGGTGTGAATTGGGTGGGCAGAGACAACTGAAAGCCACAGGACCCGGTTGGCACCTTTTTGGCCGCCTGGGCCTGCAACCCCGTTCCCTGGGTCAGGGAGGAGCTGTCGCTCTTGCCGGGCGCAGAAGCACCTGACCCAGCGCTGGAGGAAACGGACCCCTGGGCGGGAGGAGCTTTAGACAGGAGCAGCTTTGGGCCTGGCTGCTGCCCGTGCCGTGCCCCGGGGCCAGCACATTCAAGGAACCGCGCCAACGCCCGGCCTACAGCCAGCTCCCACCTCCCCTCCCACCTTCTAAAATACGTGCGGATCTCTTGTGGCCGACCCCAACCAGATACACATGGGGAAAGGAATCAGGTGGCGCACACACTGCCTTTACTCCACACAGAACTTCCAATTGTGGGTAAGAACAAAGCCCCACCTCTGCCTAATAGATGCGTTTTTCCACCTGCAGTCAAAAAGACAACCTGTTATTAGCTTTTTCCTCAGAGGACAGGCATCCCTATGAAACTGCCGCTGCAAACTTGTAACAGTGAGAGATAACCAGCTCCATCTTCTAACCTCCATGCGCTCCTTGTTTATTCCTGGGCGTAGGCTGAACTTTGGGGGGAACTTAGTTTAAAACAAAAATAATAGCCCTTTCCCAAAAGAAACCTTTCCTGGGGACTAGACTGCTTTTGTGGGACTAAAAGATTAGCCACAAGATTAGAAACTGTGGTTGAGGAGTCATGCAGCTGGAGGCTACAGGATTCTGACCCTCCCCAAACTGCTCCTGGCGATCACATCACTATTGTAAAGCCTCAGATCAGTACTTGATGGATCAGCTGGCACCACCCAGGCTTACGTGATCTTGTGGCACCCAGGAACTGACTCAGTGCAAGAGAACAGCTTCGACTCCCTGTGATTTCATCTCTGACCGGACCAATCAGTACTCCTGACTCACTGGCTGCCCCCACCCACCAACTTATCTTTAAAAACTCCAATCCCCAAATCCTCAGGGAGGGAGACTGAGTAATAAAACTCCAGTCTCCTGCACAGCTAGCTCTGTGTGAATTACTTCTTCTCTATTGCAAATGCCCTTTCTTGATAAATTGGCTGTCTAGGTAACAGGGAAGGTGAACCCATTGGACAGTTAACATCTTTATCCACCCTTCCAGCTGGATCACACGCCCTCTTCGATGACATGACACGGCTAGGGCGTATGAGCTTGCTGCCGGCACCTTCTGTCCTGGATTGGATAGCGAGGCCTCAACGGAGAGCCAGGTGCCTGGTCTGGTCCCGCATTTTTTTCTGTCCTGTTTTCTTTTCCTCTCTGCTTGGACAGTTGGGCCAGGGTCCTGAGTGCAAGGGCTTGGCTTGGTGAATTAAAGTGGCAGTAGCCGTGTGGCAGAGAAAATTTGTCAGTGGGTGAAATCCTGCAGCCGTTGGTAACAGCATCCTGGGCCTACACGGTGACAAGCCAGCCAGCCAGCCTAGTTGGTGGATGTGACAAGCCCAGACCCTTCTAGATTTGTGGATCCTTGCACCTGCCAGACATGTCCTGGAGCCATCTGGGGAGGCTGGTTAAGATACATGCCCCTGTCAGGACGTGAGCCTCATCTTCAAGCTGCTGGCTTCAGTCCCGCTGCCACCAGCGCTGTCTGTCTTCCACTTTGCGGGGGGAGGCTGGCTCATTAGCTCCAGGCCTACCAGGCAGCCCAACCACAGCAGTAACTGCCTTTCACACTGAGGATGGCTCATGCTGTGCTCCAGCCGTGGCCTCAACACCTCCCAACAAGAACAAAGCCAGACTCATTCTCTGCAGCACCTTCTTCCTTGCCTCAAGATCCCACACCTCATTAGAAGCCGGAACTGGGTCCTTGTCACCTTCCTCACTTCCCCAGTCCTGGTCTGGTTAAATCTCACCATGGTCACTGTGGCTGGACGTGTGACCTCAGCGATGCTTCATGCACATACTAGGGCAGCCTGGGCAGGGCTGGTCCGTGTGATCTCATGTGGTGTGAACTTGACCCTGGGCTGCTTTCCTGGGATGCTGGCTAAGGACACAAGCTCCATAGTCCACTGGGGAATGCCTCCGCCTGTAAGACAGCATACCATATTGGTACAGGGAAACTCCTACTTCAGCGCCTCCCTCCGCAAGGTCGCAGGTCCAACAAACCATGCACTGTGAGGAAGTGGCCGTGGCATTTGGGATGTGGCTCCCTGGCCGGCTTGTCAAGCTCAAGGGGGGTCATTACTCCTTACAGCTCACAGTCCCTCCTGGGTCCAGTAAACCTGAGGGCCGACTTCCTTTTTGGTTAGTGCAGGGTAAAAGCACTTTAAAAAGCTGTCTCATCCATAACATGCGCATCTTCTGATTCTCACCTGAAACTGTATCGCAGGTTGGCACAGATGCAACCCAGTCTTCTCCCACCTCCCACAGTGCAGTGTCCTGAATGGAAGACCCCAGCACCCAGAAGCATCCACTGAAGGACGTAAGCAAGGCAAGGCCAACCATGGCTGTTCCAGCAGGGGGACTGGGGGTGACGTTTCCCTTCTCTGATTTCTAAACTATTTGCAAACTTGTTTCATTTATAATAGAAAATATAATTTGCATAACAACAGTATAAATTCTACACATGATAGCAAATGTCCGTGGTTGACAAATTACACTGGCCAGATTCCCCAGTGCCAACCCTGGCAGCACGAACTGAGGCTTGTCCAGACGCAGTGAACCAGTCGCAGCTGACACCACGCAGACCATTCCCGATCCGAGGTGCATTTCAGAATTCATTTTATTTCATCAGGAGGTGTTTTAACAGGAACAAAACTGCGGGGGGTAGGGGGGTGGTTGGAGGTTGGAATCACACCAACATCACAGCATTACTACTTTAATAAAAATTACTTTTTTGGCTGGGTGCTGTGGCTCACACCTGTAATCACAGGACTTTGGGGGGCCAAGGCGGGTGGATCACCTGAGGTTGGGAGTTCGACACCAGCCTGACCAACATGGAGAAACCCCATCTCTACTAAAAATACAAAATTAGCTGGGCATGGTGGCACATGCCTATAATCCCAGCTACTGGGGAGGCTGAAGCCGGAGAATCGCTGGAACCTAGAAGGTGGAGGTTGCGCCACTGCACTCCAGCCTGGGCAACAAGAGCAAAACTCCTGTCTCAAAAAAAAAAACAAAAAACAAAAAACAAAAAAACAAGATCTATTTTTTTTTTTAAGCCACAGGGTCTTGCACAGTTGCCCAGGCTGGAGTGTAGCAGCTCGATCACGACTCACTGTAACCTTGGACTCAGCTCAAGCAGTCCTGCTTCAGCCTCCCGAGTAGCTGGAACTACAGGTACGTGCCACCACACTTGGCTAATTTAAAAATTTCTTTTTGTAGAGACAGGGTCCTCCCCCTGGCTGGTCTTGAACTCCTGAGCTGAAGCAATCCTTCTGCCTTGGCCTCCCAGAGGGTTGGAATTGCAGATGTGAGGTAATGTCCAGTATTTCCTTGCCTAATTTATAAAATGTAATTTATTTTTTGAACTTTTTCCTCTTCAGAGCCTTCCATTCGCCTTCTTGTGTAGCCAGGCTGTTAAAAAGCTGCTTTACTTTCCGTTTTCTTTCTGCATCCCTGAAAGAAACAAAAGCGAAAAGCCCATTTTTGGATTAGTTCTTGTAGAGCGTCTTGCCCTCTCTCCCCCACATCAGAACATTAGCCACCGTGGCCACGCTCAGCTCAAGCAGAGGGGAAGCGAACCTGCCTGGCTCCAGCCCCTAGCCAGAGCCAAGGCTGTGGGATGCCAGGTGCCCGGTGCTCTGCCCAGGGCCACACAGCACCAAAGCTGAGTCACATCACGATCATGTCACACACACACGTCCCCCTCACCGTTCCATTATTTCTGAGAGTTGCATCCTCGCCAAGAACTGATTGTCCTTGCGGATTTCTCGAACAGCCCCTTTAAATTCACGCTTGTGTTTGTGGATCAGCCTCTTCCTTTCCTGTTCCTCCTTACTACTGCCTTGTTTTCTTCCAAACTCGAGGCTACAATCAAAAAGCCACTGTTAAGGAAGCAAGAATCTGTCCCCACCTCTCGGCCAGAGCCTGCTCGGGAGTGTGGCTTCGCTCCGTAGTCATCTGCTCAACTGTAGAACTGGCAGACACCCCCTGTCACCTCCCACTGAGCCCACAGTCCCGGGCCCCTGGGGAGATGCTGCCAACACCCACACTTTGACCAGCCGGGGTGTGAACAGCTTCAGTGGGACAGGCTTGCTCTTCTCACAGGTCAGCGGCCGGCAGAGCTGCTTCTGGCTTTCCATTTCAGTCAGTGTGCTCTGACACAGCTCCTGAAAAACACGCAATCCCCAACGCTGTGATGACTCACCTGCTGCAACCTGCGCTCCACGCACATGTGCTGCGGTGTCCAGGCAGCTGAGGACAGTACTGCGAGCTCCCCGCAGCAGGACGGTGCCCTTGCTGTGTGCCCACTGGTGGAGGGGAAGCCAAGGCTATGGCTGCTCAAGGTCTGGCACAGCCAAAACAAAGTAAAGCCACTGTCTTGCTGA